GATGATCGTCTGAATGAATCAGGCAGATAAATCTAATCATACATGAATAGTAAAGATCAAAAACAAAGAAAATTAAATTATTGCTTGTAATGCTTGTGTAAAACATTCTGAACATCTTGCATATTGATTATAATCAGTTGAATCAGGTAGGACATAAAAATTCTTCTTTTCTTCACCAAATTTATATGGTTGTTTATTTGATGCTGGTGAAGCATCATTTATACAAGTTGTACTAATATTTGGAAATGAATTATTTCTTAAAAATGATCATCAAGATCTCATCGTGCTATTGGATCATTAATATTGAATAATCTGTAAACAAACAGATGTAATTTAAAAGAAAAAGAATATTATTGATGTTCAGGAATAATTTTAAGTAGATAAATGTCAATGGAAGAATATTAAAAAAATAGTATGAAAATTTTTTCTTGCAAGCCTTGATTGAATTAGCACGGTTATTCGAAAGAAAAGACAAACGATGAGAACTTTCATCAAGAACAATAATGAACAAAAAAAAATAAATCAACATTTCATTTAATCGCGTATTCACTTTCTGATCATTATTATTATTGTTGTTGTGATGATTCCTCTTTTTGTTGATAAATAAGTACATAAGCTGCTTTACTTACTACACTATTTTTATCAATATCTGATATATATGAATCATCAAATGAATGTCATTTATAATCATTAATATTTGTTGTTGCATGTACTGTATAATATCCACCATCTAAACCACCAATATGATCACTAACACCAATTAAATCATATTTTCCTTTGGTTTTTTTTTCAGCAGAATTTAGAACAAATTGCGATAAATTTAAATCACATAATGGATAATCAACAAGTAAATTAATTTACAATTAAAACGTTTTAGTTGGACAATTAGAACTTTTGGTAAAAGCCATAAATCAATTTTTTTGTTGCCTTTTTTAATTCTTTACATGTTGGATATTTGAGTTATAACCACGATCCAGCAATTGGCAATTCAAGGAATTCAATAAATTCAATCATCTTGTATAACTTACAAATATACAGTTTGACATTACCATGAAATTCCTGAATTTTTCTTGAATTCGTTGAACTCCATTCAAATGTTTGGTAGAAAGATATCCTCACCGTCACTATCGATATTAATTTTGAAATCAAGAAATTCTATTGCATTTCTTGAATTGATTGAATTCCATGGTAATTTCAAGCTATTTATATCTAATTCATCTATGATTATTGAATTCTTTGAATTGCCAATTTCTCGACGATGGTTACTCTTAACAAAATTGCTTGTAGTATCATGAAAATGTGCGTGTAGTATAGCGCCATCATTTCGTTGGTCTCAACTTTTGCAAAAATAAAATATATCCATTAAATCTACCTTCTCTTTTTATGCCTTTTTCTCAGTTTTTTTTCTGACATTTGATCCAAACTGCGTGCATAAGTTCATTTGATATTCAACATTGACATTGACTAAAGCGAAGCGATCAAAAAGCAGAATATGATTGAGACCGATGATAACCCATTCATATTCATATTCATTGTGATCGCTTCAGTATTTGGTCTGAAATTTGGCCGATTATTATTAACAGTCATTTCAAGACAATAATCGTGAAGCGGAAAGGCTTCTATATATATATGTATATATATGTAAATAAATTTGCACATGTTCAATATTCTCACCGATACATCAAATAAACAATGACCTGCTTATCAAACACAAGTATTTAACTATTTATTAATATAAATATTTTGTTCTATTGTTTTGTATAGAAAATCTTGTCGGCTTACTCGACTTACCAGATGAGATAATTTTATCCATTATGAATAAAATCCAACCTCGAGCTGTATTACTCTATTCTATGATTGGTACCAAAAATATTCATTTGGAACAACTTGCTCTTGATCAATGTCATTCGATCGATCTAACCTCTGACTATTTTGGTTCACCATATGAAATGATTATTCAAGAATTCATATTATCTACTTTACCATGTATTATTAATTATATTGAATCACTTGCAATCAATCTTGTACATATACCAAGTCTTTATCAGCTTGTTAAAAGAATTGATGATAAAAGTTGTCTCAATAATTTAAAGCATTTAAAAATAATGGCCGGCCGTTTGCATCGTAATACAGGAACACCTATCACATTAAGTAAGTTATATATAATTGTTCTCTTTTTATTTGAATATATACACCTCGTTAGACAAGAATCGACTTAATTTATAATTTCAGAATTTTAAAAAACTAATCCTGATGATTGAAAGAGAATGTATGTTTTAGTATATTTTCGATTCTATAACATAGTTTCAGTATAGAAAATCAAACAGCTGAATATCGTTTTATCTCGATTTCGTTCAAACGAATTTTTTTCTAGAAGTTCTACTACTGAAATTTCAATGTCACTTTTTAATATGATGAATAAAATTCATCTAAGATGAATAGATAATGTTTATGTTTGAATACTATGAACAGATGATAAATTAGTTTCATAATTTTTGGATTTATATGGATCGAAAACTTATTTGATTTGTGTATTTTTAGACTTTTATAGTGATAACGAGGTACGGCGTCATCCTCTATTCTCAGACATACCTCAATTTTTCGATCTTTCTCAGAAACTTAGTGATATACTTTCATTCTACTGTCATTCACCAATAATGTCATTAATTACCTCGTTTGAATTTGATCCTGATTGTGTTATATCCATTCCATCAAGTGATGAAAAATTGTTCTTTCCTCAAACAGTTCATCTTACTCATATTAGTATTACATTTCATCAATTCGGCGATTGTGTTCGTTTATTGAATCAAATAGGAACACAATTACAATCATTCGTTGTGAGCATGATGCACGTCTATCTATCTGAAGAATTAGATTTATCACAAATATCATTGGTAAGTCATTTTTTTGGTGTAATTTTATATTATTTTTTATTTAACTTAGATATCTTGTCCTCATTTGAAAGAATTAAAAATAACAATATATAGAAATATTTTCGAGTATGAACAATGTATTATTCCTTTTTTACAACGTTTATCAAGTGTCGAACATTTAACATTATTATTAGCTATCGGTGAAAATGAAAATGGACCAAATCACTTTATTGGTGGATTGGACTTACAACGAGATATTATTTCATATATGCCTCATTTATGCCAGTTTGATTTTCATATTCGTTCAATTTTAAAAGATGCTGCTCATATAAAACTCGATAAAATTCGTCAAAGTTTTTTTCAATATCAACAATCTATTGATTGTACAATTGATTATTTTAATAAGCGATATGGTCAATGTCAAATCTATTCTCTTCCATTTATTGGTACTCGTCTCGACTTTATTTCGAATCGATTTCCATTATTCGATGTTGAAAAAAGATTTTCAAATGTTACTATGTTATTACTTTTTGATGATGTCAAACCTTTTGAACATGGTTTTTTTCAACGTGTTACACAAGCTTTACCTCATCTTAAAGTACTTGAAGTATTCAATCTTCTTGAACAAGAAGAAAAAAGTACGACGACAAATAATTCTATTGAATTTCGTCATTTAGCAACGCTTATTTTGCATGATATTCATGCGGATTATGCTGAACAACTTCTATATCGAACTTATCTTCCATGTCTAATCGAACTTGTCATTCGTAATGATGTATTGTTAACAATAATTAATCAAAATCAACAACAAGTTAAAGACAATTGTTCAAAAGTTGAAACTCTTATTATTGTTGAACTATGGACCTATCCCAATAGTACTCATGTAAACTTTTTTCCAAAGTTAGGCATATTTCATACAATGTAATGTTAATTAATAAATTATGTATAAAATAAAATAGAAAAGTCAATTTGAATTAAGATAATCATTATCTTGAAAGAAATCTTATCAGAAAATGACCATTTTATGATGATGAGAGAACATCTTGAATTTGTCAAACTATTCATGAATTAAAAACACTACTCATTTGTTTTATTCTAATGAGTAACAAAAAAGTATATAATGATTTTCTGTATTAATTGTTATGCCTAAAATATCTAAAATACAATGTCTTTTGCCAGCATAAAAGTCAATTTCATAATAAATTCAATCTGAAAAAATAACTTTAATAGTTTCTATTCGGATTGAATCTAATATCTTCATTCGAAAGTTATTTATGACTTTTGAAAGATAAAATATAGTCGAAGTTTGATTACATTTTCGTTTCTCTTTTTGAAAATATGACTCGAGTTTTAATGTTATTTCTCATAGACATTTTTATCTTTAAATATGATCAATTTATTGATGAAAACAGTGGATCGGTGTCCTGATTCAAGAGAAAAACCGACAATATTATCAGAAAGAATACAAGTCTATTATTTGATAGTGATAAAAACGAAAGCAATCGAAGTAATTAAAAAATTCATCTCTTTATCCTTGGAAAACGAGATATATTGATAACATTCTACAGACTATTTGAAAAGATAAAAAATTTATGACAATGATTCATTTTTATAGATTTAGCTGTATTCTTCAGAAAGATAGGGTAGTATCGTTTGTGGACACAATGATGTAATACTACGACTCATGGATCTTTACAGAAAAACACTACTTTTTTTAAAATAAAATTAGATGTTAAATTTTGCATGATAAGAAGGCATCACCATGAGCTATGTCATCCCTGATGTAAATAACTCTTTGTCTGAGATGAAGTACACATAGATTATAGTGGCCACTATTGCTGTAGTTTTATTCATTTTGTACAATATCGAAAATAAAAACAATTATGTTAACCTAATGAAATTTTATGGCTCATCTACCACACAACAAATTATAATCTGACTTTCATTGGATTTTTCATACAATGTTGGAAGACTGAATTGAGAATTTGCTTATATATATGAAGATTATATTGGAGACAATCTCAGATAGTCGGTGTGTATTTTTTTATTGAATGCATGAGAAGTGAAAAAACACATCTATTTACAACCAATAATTTTAATCGAAATACAAATCAAAATCGATACGCTTTATTGAATAGAATTGTTCTGTACCACATGACGGCACCGTACATTATCTTTATCTAATATTTCTTTAGTATTTGTTAAACAAATCATTTGTTCAGTTGTAAATGGACCTTGAAGACTTTCTGTTAAATTTTCATTTGTTATATGTTCCCAAAGAATAGTAGATGAAGCTAAAAAACACAAAAATTAAAATTCGTTTTTCTTTTATTTAAAATAAAAATTCCTTTTTACTATTTGTGTCAATTGAAGATGAATTTGGTTCAGAGTTACAGATGAAGAAATATCACTATCACCATACACATCAAATGTTGAATCTGTTATTATTTTTGAAGCAGTTGATGATTGAAAACGATCAAGTTTTGATTGAAGACGTTCATAAATTTCTGGATCAGAGGTGCAGAATGTTCCTTGTGCGGCCCCCCCGGGGGGAGGAGATTTTTTGGAAACTTGAATTACTCAAGGAAATTTTGGAAAACTGCTAGAATGGGGAACTTTTGGAAAATTGTCAGACTGGGGAAGTTTTAGAGATGCAGAATGTGCCACAAAAGTGGAAATTTTCCCCAACGAAGAAACCTTCTTTAAGAATGTTCCCTGCTATTAAAATGAGGGTGTGGGTGTGGGTGTGCGGTGGGTGGGGTGTGGGTGTGTGGATGTGGGTGTGTGTATGTGGGTGTGGCTGTGGCTGTGTGGGTATGGGT